GGGACTCCTGAGACGAATGGAGTTGGCAGAAATAAATAGATCATATTTGTTAGAAGCTTTGTGGTATGTTGGTCTCTGTGCAGCAAGTATACCTAGTTGTGTTGGAAAACTTATGTTGGACTACAATCTGGACAGCTTACAAAACGCATTCAATGTGTTTCTGAATGAAAAGGCCTTTGTCAGTGAAGATAGAGTTCCCAGCCATCTCACATTTCTTTTTATCCTTTTCTGTGCTTTGAGTGCCCATAGTGTATGGTTGACATGGAGTAAAGATGGTTTCAATATCGAATTTTTTACAAGACTCTGCTTTTTCTTATTTTTCTCAAGCACCTATTCATTAAGGTATCCAAAATAAAGCAGCCATTGTTGACTCTCACACGAATATGATAAAGCTATTTTCTTTTTTTGTATATTCAACCTTTTCTTTTGCAGGTGTGTGTTATTGGGTCTTGTTTGTGCACTTCTTATCAATGTGAGTTCTTTATGTGCTGAAACTACTCGAATATTTTGTATATTAAATTCCAAGAGATCACTGAGAACCTATTCAGTCAAATACATTTCATATCTTTTCTTCATGCTGTACTGTATCTGTTGGTAAGTTGCATTTTAACTACTGTGAGGTAAGATTCAATAAAAGTGAATACATTTCTAGTATAACGAAAACAGTTTTAGAAAGCATTAAGGTTTATTTACACAGTTATAGCAATGCCAATAATTGATCATTGGCATTAAGCGTGTTAGCCTTTGTAGTGTTAATTTTTGTATCTTTTTTTTATTTGTCCTGGAGATTTGAGAAATGATTTTTGATTTCACTATGTGCTAAATTTTTTAATACAAGTTGAAAATTTAAAAAATTATAAGAAGAAAAATAATGCAATTTTGGTGAATAACCCTTCAGTTTTGACAAATGCACAAACTATTGAACTATTAATTATTAATGTTCAGTTAAAATAAAAAGGTGACTGGTAACATGTTACAAATTCATAAATGATTAGATTAGATTTACTGATGAATGAAATATTGCATTTGGGGGAAACGCCATACATCACATACAGTTTAGTCTGTTCTTTTCAAATCATATAAAGGGCTGAAGTCTAGTATATGGTACAACTTACCGAAGTCTTTTTAAACCGGCACTTCGCGCCGCTCCGGCGATAACTGCGCTGTTTGAATTTTGGGGCTTTCTTATAAAAGTGAATTGGTTTATTATGCGATGGATAGGCTCAAGGCCGAAGGCCCAAGCCTCGCCGTGAGTTTGATCCGGGCGAGCGAAGCGAGAAAACTTGCCTTTGAAAGTAAATTGGCATTACAATCCGGCGGGAATAAAGCGTTTGAAGGGCGAGACATGAAAATCGCCTATCCGTAAGTTTAATTCATTTCTATCAAAGCGCAGTGTAGTGTAATTTGAGGGAGGGCTTGACCCCGCCGGCGTGTACCCTGCTTTAACCAAATAAAGAAATTGAAAATAAATTTTTGGGAGAAGAACGAAGTACATAAAGAAAATTTCCACTCTTGGAATGGAAGAAATGTTAATTTTGTTTATATGAATTATTATATGGTTTTATTCTTTTATTATATTGAAATACTATATTGTTTTAAAAGTGAAAATAGCTCCTTAGCAGAACCTTACTTCAAATGGGGAGGCCCTGAACTGTACATTTATGCCCAATACCATCGAGATGAACTGTTCTAATAGGGCTAAGCGTTGAAATAAAATGGCATAGAAAATCAAATAGTTCGTTTAATTTTATCATGAAAGATTACTTTTTTTATTTCTGTCTTCTTTCAATTTCATTTTACATAGAATTCAGGTTTCTGATCACCAATGTAGTGGACTGGGAAGACCTAGTACGATTTAATCTTCAAAAACAAAATAAAAAGTTCAAAAAGGTGATTTTGGAAGACTACTGCTTAAGCTGCTAATTCAAGCTCCAACTTGTCCCCTTCGCTTCCCCACATGTTCCCTGAAGTATCCTTTACCTTTCCTCCTCCGGCTTTCCATCATTTCCCCACATATCCTCCACTAGTTCATCACTTTTCCAACTGATCTACTAATGTCTCTGTAAAACATTCCTATGTATGTGCTTGGCACGACAGCCCAAACGGGCTCAGGCCTACAGGCGCCGTCTCTGCCTCGCGGCCATGGGTTAAGGGGGTACATGTGGTTAGCACATAGACATCCCCATGACAGTCTGGTCTTCTCAACCTGATAAGTGAATTATCTCATCATCACACAGCAACAAATTCTGGGCCATTGCGAGGAAAATGCACACTATAGTCTTGGCTTGACCAGGAATTGAACCGGCGGCTGCAAAACATTCTTGTAGGGGGATAAAAACCTACAACCAAGGGCCTAGAATGCATTGTTTCTGAGTTACACATGATTAAATTGAGTGTTGTAATAATCTGTTTTATGCCTTTATAACCTCTATAAGTTACAAACTTATTTTCTTTATTTCGTCTTAAATCTTTTTAGTGCAAGGTTGGGGAGTAATTCCTTATCTGTAGAAGCACACTAACAGGATTTTGTATTTGTGGTTTCTTATAAATTGTCAGAAACCATCATCTACTCTTAGTTTGTTACATATTAGAGGATGAAACCAGCAGATCAGAAGAGGCAGAGGTGCAGTCAGTACATCACTCCATGGCCCATGGATGGGGCCAGTGAAGCCCAACACATTCAATAATTTTTTATCAAAATTTGAATGTTTATTTACCATAATTCATTTAATTTTGATTGTATCTTATCTTTCCAATTTTACAAGTTAATTTATTTTCAAATTAAAAGTCATTCATGGGTCACTGGGTGTCTAATGTGAATGCAAATGTGAATAAGTGGGCTAAACTGATATGAACAGTTTGAGTGCAAGAGGATATAAGACTTGTCTAAACACATCAATTGATTGCAAGAAATATTAATACATAACAATATTGATTGCAAGAAATTTCTATATACTACATGTCTGTAGAATTTTTAATAACATCCCACACACTACTTTCTTTATACCTAGACCTGGATTCTCTCTTGGAGGCCTTGCTGATGGATAAATATATTTGAGCCGATGATGCAGTATTGATAACTGAAAGTTATTTATAGCAGCTTTCTTTGACTTTTCTAAACTCGGCTCAATTTTAAATCTAGCACCCTTTAAATCACACATCTAAATAATGACATTTGCCATAGATATTTTAATATTTGTAAATTGGTAATCTCAACCAGTAGGACTTTGGGAATTTCAATATGGTGTATTTCTACAATATTAATTGAAGATTAACAGAAAAATAAAACAAATTGCAATTTATCTAATTGCATCAATTACTCTAACAATATGTATCTGAGATGAGACTTCAAAATAAGGATTCAGGCCAATTTCAAGAAATTTTAACTAAATTTACACATGTGAAATTTATGCATATGAAAAATAAATTAATAATAATATTATTTTATTGAGTCACTTATACAATTCAATCGTGAATGATGGGTCAATATGTCATCATTACTGTCCAGTAGCAAACAAAGGGGCAATCTCAGCATTTCCTTAAAAGGCCAGGGAAACTGAACAAAATACATGATTGAGATGGGGTCATTGACCTAGAAATTATACTACAGTACTTGTTACAGATATATTAAGATATTATACAGTAGATGATTATTTTTATTAGCAAAATAATTTAACATTTCAAGATTTGTACTGTACTGAGAGTTTTACTAGAAAACAATCTTTGAATGAAGTTATAGGCAGATAAATGAGAAAATACTGTTGCTGCTCATTCCGAGAGTCGAAAAACAGGAAGTAAATGTTTGTAATGTATGTATGCAAATGTAAGTTCACCTTACAATTTGCAATACATTTTACATAGATAATAATAAAAATTTCCAGTCAAAAAAATAATTTCAATAAATGTAATTAATGACACTTGTGGTATGGCAGTAATTTAAATTTGTAAAGGTTTGAAAAGTAAGTTGGGAGTGGACCCAATAAATAAACAAACAAACATGGACATGAAATATGTGTTAGAACACATAATTATATTCTTTCCTTGTAATACAATGTATTATAGTGGCTGAAGTATTTGTGTATTTGCATTGCTACAGTATTGGAATGGTATTTTTTTTAGATTATGTTTAATTTGCTTTGATACATCTTCCATGGAGGTCTTGATACAGTCTGTGCCTCTTCTTTCTTATGAAATTGTTTATACCAATAATAATGATATAACTAATATGAATACCAACTCAGGTATTCCTTAATTTATTTACTTGGAAATATGCCTATATAAAAATTGTGAAAGAACCATGTAGAAGGAATTGAAGAGCTACAATGAAGTGAAATCACTTTGAAAGTAGTATTGTGTGCAAAACTTCTATGCAAAGAGTAAATTTTGGACATATTAGATAACCTTATGTTACTGTACAATAGCGTAATGTAGATTTTGTTCATAATTGAAATGCATTAAATGTCTACAACATTGATATTTTTTTCACTAATCTTTGCTTTCTTTTAGGTCTGCTGCTTTTCTTTACATATTCCCTGCTCGTGTGTTACGACGTACTATTACAATGCATGTTAAAGTTCCTGAAGATGTTCCTGCTCTAGTACTTTTGAATGCTGCATTATGGGGATTTTTTTCATTGCAACTGTTTTGGGCTGTAAGAAAAGTTTCTCTTATTCTCATCTTCTTCATCTGAACTTTCTTATAAGAATTTTACCATTTCAATGTGTCACATGTCAACAGCCTGCCAGTGTTGCTGTTCGTCACTTGACCTGCAGAGTTGGTCGCCGTCGACAAGACCTTCTTAATGCTGTCCTCTTTCCTGCTCGTGATGCTGTACTAGCTGAATTACGTGCTTTACGCAATCGTGTTCGTCAGCGAGAAGCTGAACAGTTACATCCGCTTAATGTACATAAGTAAGTGGCTTTTGACATTTGAACTTAAGTGTCAGGATATTCTTATTTGTAAATGCAGAATATTGTTTTATTGAAGAATTTTGTAGGAGAGAGAAAATGGGATTAGTGCAATAGCTTTCTTGAATTATCTGATTTGAACAAATTGTTTGATTCCAGCCATGTAAACTCAAAAAATTAATTTATGATTTTGTAGGTACCTTAATTACCAAGTTCTTGTGCTGTTCTGTTATTGGGTGAAGTTATACTAGTTGCTTTCTTTTAATCTATGAAAACTTACAACACTCAGAATTTTTAGAGACTGCTTTATATTAGAAAACAAGGCTTTTCGATATTTATATTTGTATTTGCAATTGTATCCATTAGCTTTTAAAAAGAAAGGGTGCTTCAAAAAAGTCAGTGCCAATAATTTTGATCAAATCGCCTAAAATTAAAAATCTCATTTTCAATTTAAATTCCTTTTAGAGTTTAAATATGAATTTTTGTACATTGTCAAATTTTGAAAGTAAATTTCATGTTTTCACATATATTTCATTTTAGAGATTTGGAAAATACATCTCTCTTAACAGATGGGAAATTAAAGAGTTTTGTAGTCTTATATCAAAACAGATTCTTCAATAGTTGGTCAATCATTTGTCAATCTATTCTAAAATGATTAACTAAGGACTTGGTGAATGTGTTAAAAGATTCACATTGGTGATGTATTTTAGAAGCACCAATCTTCTGTTCACAGTACCCAAGCAAGTGACCGTTGTGTGAGACACAGTATGGTAAAGGATGCAGACTGTTCTAGCAGCACAGGCAGTTTCCAAAGTCATCTTTAGCTTTATTGGATGGGCGTTTGGGATTCAGAAAAGAACTTGACTGTCAGTGGTGGATCCAGGGAGGAGAGGGTCACAAGGCACATCCCCACCCCCACTCTTCATGAAAAATATTTTTAAAATAATTAATAGTATATTGGAACAAGAAGAGTAAACTATTCTTGAGAATTAGGTGAATGCACCTCCAGTAATTAACAAATTAATTAAATGTATTGAACTATTAAATTTTATAAATTGACAAAATTAGATATCTTCATCTTTGGAAAATTATGTACTACTATATTTAGTGAATCATGACAGGTTGCACATTATTTGGGAACAATTCCACAAGCTAAACCATGATTATCCTTGACATGACAGTGACCTCCTTTTCTAATTGAATGTGTAGATCCACCTCTGCTTACTGTTCATAAGTAGACAAGTAGCAGTAAAATAGTATTTTGGGGGTCAGGCTTTACTCTTTTCTTTTTGAAGCACCTTAAATGTATGTGAATATATACTTATGAATATTGTATCCTAGGAAGAATTTTCAATACAACGTCAGGCAACACGGATAATCAATAGAAGCAAAAATTGTCACCATTGTATATGATACAAAGTTTTCAAAATGCAGCACAAATTCTTTCAAATGCTATATATGGATCACATCTGTTAATATATTGTAAAAGGTGACCTTAGAAACATTGAAAAATATACCATTTTAGATAGATAAAATAAGTAAATCATAATAGAATAGATAATATTTAGATTTGTTTGCTTGTATTAACCTGCAATGTGATGAAATATTGATTTTAAAAGAAACAGGTTTTCTACAATTTGAATTTAGCATAAGAAACAATGAAGAGTTGTATATGTTCAAATTAACTTTGCTTTTATTGATATCCTGTTTGGCTTGATGACATTGACTTTTTATCTTCCGAAGAGAATATGTCCTTAAAAGTAATTTAGATATATTAATGAAATATAAGTGTTAAAAACTTAATTCTATTATTAATAGAAAATGGAGTGTAGTATGAAAGCTATGAGATGGTTGTATTACAGAATATAATTTTCATGATAAAGATTTGTTATTAAGAAAAATATTGCAACAAGAAGTTGACTTGCTGAAGACCTATCCAAATAAATAAGGTTCATTGGCTGTTGGGTAGTATTATAAACATTCTTTTAGGTAATGCATAAAATGTATGTTAATGTATGCTTGAAATGAAAGTAATAATCTTTTTTGTGCCCAAATTATGAGTATTAAATAAGGAAGATAAAATTTGCATAATGCCCTTACATTTTTGAAGTGTTTTCAAAATTTTTCTAAAATGATTGTCAGTTTCTATCTATTATATTTTAAAATTACAGATTTGAAATAATAATTCTTATTCATGTTAAATCATTTTTAGTCTTTCCAATTAATTATTTTGCGTGATTTCTTCATATGAATTAACAGTAAAGGAAAGTTGCAAAAAGGGTGGAAACGGTTTGTTATTAAATATACAGTGATTTTGAATTCTTTTAAATGTACAAAAATAATTTTTGTAATTGCTTTATTTTTCTTTATTTCCTTTTATCTAATGGAAACAAGACATTTCTTGTGAACAGAGAACCTGTAAATGACAAAAGGCACATTTTTAATGGGTTTTTTTTTGAGGTAAATCTTTGAAATAGCCCATTATTAATTTTTTAGTACTTTTGAAAAAATAAATGAAAATTAACAAAGCGAATTGCAACTTGATATGTACTTGCCACAGAAAATTCAAACTTCAGGCAGGGGAAATCATAATTAATGATTCATGAATTTCATTTGCAAGAATCATAAACAGCTGGAATCTAGAAAATTGATTAAAATGTATTTTACTTTACTCTGAGATTGAGCTTTTGTTTCATTCTGTCTGTTTTTAGTTTTACAGAACAACAGAGATTGCAGTTGGCACATAATGCTAGCAAAAATACTTTGTTTCAAACAATTAAGTGTATGTATTTATTTTCATATCTGTAGTAACATAAATTTAAATAGTCATCCGTCGCTCTGAAACCAATTCATAAGAATGAATATATTGTCCTAATTTTAGGTGTTATGGCTATTAAACGTCAACTCAAGCGTCGCAGAGAAAAAAAGGAAGCTGAAACTATTGCATCTTCCATTGTAGAAGACTTAGTGAAATTATAGACTGAGGACTTACCTTTACAGGTGCTAAGATTGTTCCTGATGTAGAGGATGCTTTGCTTTGATAGCATTTAAATTAAGAGTTCAGATACCTTAATCAAGAGTTACCTTACACAGATTTATTGTGGTTAGTCTCATCCTTTGCAATGCTTTTTGTTTTGTTTTGTTAGAATGTGCTTAATATAAAATAAATTATTATATTTTGGGGACATCATGTGTTCAAAAGTTTTTGAAGTGTTCTTATGCCCTTGAAGATATGGTTCACTTGAAGTTGATGAACCATAATGTACTCAATGTTCTCAGCTTGTCACTTTGTGCTTAAAAGGAATTTACCTTCGATTGCCTGTTGGGAAAACTAAATAAATATTAATAAAATAATTTTTAATTTTCAAAACAATTTTACTCAGCCCTCTCCATTTTTTATTTGCTTATCTATGTTCTAATTTAAAGTTGAATTCAGTTCAATTCAAGTGGGTATCAAATCGAAAGAATTAAATTAATTTTTCTTGTGTGGTTTAGACAGAGTAGTTTCTCTATTGAGAGGGATTCTTAATTGCCAGATCAGCAGAGATCCAAAAAAAAAAAACAAATTTAATGTGTAAATATAAAAATTACAAATTGTATTACATACGTTTCTGTATTTGCATTTAATTTATTTTAATAGTACAACACATCAGTCTGTGATTTAATTATAATGTGAAAGCTATATTATTGTTACCTAATTGAAGTAGATATTTATAGTTTTATGCTGTTATACTTAACATGAGGATTTTTAAGACTATTGAAATGGAGTATATTTGTTCCATGTTTAAAGAATTAAGTGCTCAAAAATACACATTTGTGGTAGTTGCACCTTTTTGTGCCTATTGCTGTGTTAGTATTTTGGACTTGAGTACTTGTATGTTGTTGACTATTAAAATATATTGCAGTGAATTGTTGAATAAAATGATTTCGTGCAATTTTTTGTGTTATTTTCCTATTCCTCTACGTAGTAAGTTCTAAATTATGCAAATTCTAATACGCTCCACATCTCATAAAAGTTTTGCACACGTGAAATTTTTGCAGTGCTTAGCCGGTTTGCAGAGCTTGCAAGCAGAGATCGAAGGGCTTAGTAGAGCCATTTAAGTTATTCTCCCTCTCTACCGCCACCCAATGTATTATAGATTCTGAGGCGCGAAGAATTTATTCTTGTTAGGTAGATGGAAATTGCAACGTCAAAATAATTCCATTTTTAACTCTCGTCAGCCATGCTTCTCTAGTGGGCATCGACTTCCCGCTTTTACGTCACGTGACCTCGCAAGCTACAGGAAGCAGCCATGGCGGACCGTGAAGATGCTGAGAAAACTATTGCGGAAGATTTGGTTGTTACCAAGTATAAAATGGCTGGCGACATAGTAAATCGTAAGTCATGACTAAAAACTTAAATGTTATAACAGAAATTATGAAACTTACTTCGAAGGATGAAAGCACGGTGGCTATAATGCCCTTTGTTGTGGTCCCCCATATGGAATGCCTTTGCTCTGAAAGTGGTGTGCCATGTGGGCATACCGCATGATGGTTCAAAACTATGGAAGACTCATCCTCTCCTAGATTTGAATCTGAGTCTAAATATTTTTGACTTGAAATAAATAAACATCCTTTCCCTCAAAATCTACTACTTTATGTAGGAATTATTAGAGAAAAAGAGAGGTGCGTGTCAGGTGTGCGTCTCTACCAAGTTTTCACTAACAGCTTTGTTTCGGTTGATTTACAGGTGTTTTAAAACAAGTTATAGATAAATGTGTTGCTGGCGCGTCTGTACGTGAGATCTGCGAATTTGGGGATTCAGTATTGACTGAAGAAACTAGCAAAGTTTTCAAGAAAGAAAAAGAGCTAAAGAAAGGTAAAGGAATAAGTATGCTACCTACATCTGCCGGTATGAGGTTTTAATGTGTATTTTTTGACTTAGTAGTAGACGAGACTATCCCAATACATTTATATTAGATTGACATTTGTTTGTTTGTTTTTTCTGGTGAAAGATATGTTGTCTTGTGAGGCTGCTAAAAGATTTTGAAAGTGCCTTCTGAGACATCTTGCACTTAATAATTTATAAAAATAGAACACTATTTATTATGTAAATTTAAAAGAGATCAACCGACTTCATTTATTGTTATGAAATTACAACATGTTATTTTGTGTATTATGAAATATTATTATCTGATTTTTTTGGTGAACAGGTAAAAATAAGTTACCCCATTTTGATTATATCTGCATGTTGTTTTTTTAGGTGAAATCATGTAAATAATTACTTTGTCAAGTACATTGGCATAAGTAAATTGATGATTGAATAATTGGATAGAATTTTTCTTTTCTTTAATAATTTGTTTTTAAGTATAATGATTATTCTTACTTCAGAGCTTTTATATTTCATGATGTATTGTTTTTATGGCAGGTATTGCATTTCCAACAAGTGTATCAGTAAACAATTGTATCTGTCACTTCTCACCTAGTGCTAGCGAGCCAGATTACACCCTAAAAGATGAAGATGTTGTGAAAGTGTGAGTACTATTCTATGAAAACGACTAAACAAGATTCTAGCTGGAAATTTAATTAGCATAATATTTTTTAGTGACCTGGGAGCTCACATCGATGGATTCATAGCTGTTGTGGCACACACTGTTGTAATCGGAGCATCAAGTGAAAATCGTGTGAAAGGACGAAGAGCAGATGCTGTATTAGCAGCACATTTTGCTTCAGAAGCTGCCCTTCGTTTATTGAAACCAGGAAATGAGGTATGTTATCATATTAAAGTCATTTTAATATTTGCACATCCTTATTAGCTTTCGTTATTAGCTCAGTACGATTGTGGCTTAGTTTGATTAGCATGAAGAGCAAATTGTTTGTACAGAAAATACCATTAAAATATTTTTTGTGTAGGCCATATCTATTTCCTAAATGTCCTGTTTATAAAACCTTTCTATAAGAGTGTTTATCAATCTTTTAATGACACTTACTGTGAGATGAACAGAATAACAATGATTCGTATTGATCCAGTTTTTATTTTTTTTGGTCATTTGGGTTTATTTTTTTGGGGGGGGTCATTTGGGGGTTACTTCCAAGTTACAAAACTCAGAATCATGTTCATTATATTCAGTCAGTGCCTTCTGATAAAAATTATAATTGTGTAAAGATATATGACCAATTTATTTTCTCTAATTATTTTGGTGTAATCTCTCTCAAGTTTATTTGATGCAAAATGTATTTAGAAATATGACCAGAATTGAACAATAGGCATGCCTATTGTTCCAGAAAAACTTGTCCATTACAGAGAAGTTGCAAAAGTGTGAGATTTCATTGTAGTTGCATAATAAGCCATTAAATGAGGAGAGCAGCATCAGAGACCAAATATTGTTATGTCAGTGATTTTCCCATCTTTATTGTCATTGCTTCAAAACTCTCATTTGTGTTAACATGAGGTTATTTTCCAAACTGTGATTATAATTGTATTTGAATCAATCTCTTAAATTCTATTGAAAGTTCAAGGGGAGTTCGTATCAAATAATTCAGGCTAAAATTATATCTACATATTTCTAATTTCTGGTACAATTTCAAACTGTACTGGAGGTGATTCTGTCTTGGTGTTTCTCAAATGATTTTTTTTATATTCTCTTTATGGTCATAAGGAGTAGGAATCGACATGCATGCCTCCTGACTGCCTTCATGTAGAATGTATCACAGCCAGATTGAATGTCTGAAATAGATCTTTCCTATTTTCTCTACAATTCATTTCACTTCAAATCTTATTTCTCAACAGTTGACAACATTAACATTGCTCCATGAGAGTTACAGAGGCTTAGCCACTCTACACCCTTCTAAAAAGTTAGTCAACGGAGGGGGCCAAAAGATGGTGTTGGATTTTCGGAGTAGTACATTTGTGAAAATAATTGAATTTTGATAGATGGCTCAGTTATAATTTTAAGTGATGTTCTATTGGTGTTCTTGTGAACAGTAATACTGACATAATGTTGCTGGCAATCACTGGGGGGGAGTATGAGAAGACAAATTGAGCAAAGGTGTTAATTACGAGATAGAAGACTAAGAGTAGCAATTTTATGATTTTTCGTAAAAAATGACTTACTGGAAGATTCTTAGAATATGATCGAAATTAGATATTAGTGTAGTAAAATTTATTGTGCATAAGTTTTTAATAAAAACCTTGTTTCAATGTTAATATTGCTCATTATGTAATTTCAGACTTACACTATCACCGATGCAGTACAAAAAGTTGCTGAGAGTTTCAAGTGTAAACCCATTGAAGGTATGCTTTCACATCAGTTAAAACAGTTCAAAATTGATGGAGAAAAAACTATTATTCAGAATCCAACTGATGCACAGAAGAAAGAGCATGAGAAGTTTGAGTTTGCAACTCATGAAGTTTATGCCATGGATGTGCTAATCAGTACTGGTGAAGGTGTAGTAAGTATTATAATCAGTATGTTGCTTTATTGTATTAGAATTATTTCTTAATGTTGGTCTGTAATTTTTGTAGGGTCGAGAAATTGATACTCGTGTCACAATTTACAAGAAGACCGATGAAACGTACCAATTGAAATTAAAAGCATCCCGAGCTTTTTATAGTGAAGTGACACATAAACATGGTTCAATGCCTTTTAATTTACGTGGATTTGAGGATGTAACAAAGGCTCGAATGGGAGTTGTAGAATGTGTTAATCACAAACTTATCGAGCCATTTCAGGTAAGTTTATTCCTTGTCCAATGAGAGAATGAAGTAGATGTAAACAAACTGGAATATATCCCTCCTCTGAAGCGCATGGTTCGAGGCCTCTGCTGTCATCTACCAGTTATCAACACTCCGCTACCATCGCCGTGCTCACTGTGGTGTTGCATAATATCCTTCTATCTATCAAAATTGTAGCATGCTTGAAACAGACGATTGCAAGAGAGGGAACGACATCATGGCATGCAAAGGAATAATTCACTTGACATTTTATTTATTAGTGGTTATGAAGAAATATTTGGCAATATTTTTTTGAATAATGTAATAATATTGCCAATAAAACTATGAAATCCATGCACCTATGAAAATCACAGACTGTCTCGTATAAAACAATGAATATATAAAGTGCTGAATTATTATTACACAGAAGGGAAACATTAAAGCGAAAATTATATTGACATAAAATTTAGATGTTATTTAGTACTTCAAAAAAAAACCGTCTCTTAATCTGACAGTGGCTGTACTTTTCCAGGCTTGAATCTTCAGAGGAACTTGAGCCATTGCTGAGGTTGATTATTAAAGAACCGACAACAATAGGTATCAGTAACGCTTTCCAAGTTACACATTCTCTGTTCTTCACATATTACATGTTCAGTACACTGACGCCATTTCACCAATGTAACCTTAAAACTAATATCTCGTAATGTGATATACACATGTGTTGTGTTGTCCGCTGTTAGAATGCAACTACTTCTTCGCTTGATGTGTACATTGATTATTTTCACTTGTCCTTACATTACACATGGTCTATTATATGTAACATACAGTTTCTTGAATTTCACAGAATTCTTTTCTGTTGTGTATGCCTAAAAAGTGCGAGGACGAGTGTGTCTCGTGGACTTGCATCCGATTGCATACCCACATGCATTTGTTTACATTCACTTCTTCTGTCGTTGAGTAGAGAATATGATTTTTATAGGTGCTACATGATGATTTTCTATTGTTTTATTTTGGACTAGTGATTTGTAGTCAATTCCAATTGTTGGTCAGACAGGAGAAGAATTAGATGGATACAATTTTGCAACATTACATTACACATTTGTTACAAATATGAGAAATTAAATGTTGTTGTTGCACCTCTTATCAGCAATCTATTATTATTTATTAATGTCATGAAGCAATGTACTTTCAGAAAAATAATACACCACATTTAAGGTGACTGAATGTAAGACAATCTCAATTCTGATGAGGCCTCTTGAGGTTTTTATTTCACTTGCAACTAATTGTAATTTCATTATCACAATACAATTACAAATGGTATTATTGACTAGAAAATTATTTTTAAGAGAAAGCTATATTATGTCCCTTTCTTTTTAAAGAGAAAGCTAATTGATGCAATGCATCTCCATGCTCCAGGGGGCTTGGAACTTTTGGAGTAATCCTCCATTAATATTTTCAATGTCATATCCATCATGTCTCGTCGCAGTCAGTTGTCAAGAAGACTGCCAAGTAGCATCTCTGTGTACGCGCCCGTGCGTCTTTACTTAGCAGCCTGAATTGGGAAGGAATTAGGATTAGGGTAAGGTTTAGGACACTTCACAGGAGTTGGACTAGCCCCTGTGAAGCATGCAAACTCTTATTGTTTTAACACATTTCACATGAGATTTTAAGGGAATCGAACCTGGGACTTCAGTGGTGAAAGGCAAGCGACTTCGCCTCTGAGCCATGATAGCATGCACAATAATTTTTATTCTTCTCAAGGAAATTCATTTATCACTACTTTCTTGCTTTTCGAGTGCATGGTAGTTTCCTTTTTTTGTCCCCCTATCCCTCTATGCCCTCCTACAGAAAGTCATTTTCTAAACCACACAGTGTTTTGGATATGGAGCAGTTTTTAAATTAACTCGCAGTAGATTTTCTTCAAATATCCCGAGTATTATTAACTGGAAGTGGAAATGTCTTCCCACTAAGAATGTTTTGAAAATTGAGTTGTTTTCAGGTGATTTAACTTGAAATGAAGATTTTTTTCAAAAATTATTTTCTCAAGAAATGCTCAAAATGTTGCTTCATTTATTTTGTCTTCTTATTCTTAGACTTCTTATTTTGTTTTGAATTTGGGCACTAGCACAAGGCTCCTGGTCATGGTCTTGTCAGTCCATATGAAACTTAACACCGCTGTAGCCAAGGCTAAGTATTATCACAAGCTTAATTTGACCTATGTAAAAGTACCTCCTAGAATATATTTTGAAATCCACTTGATATGCTGATGATATTTGAGTGTGTTACAATTAGATTTAACAAAATGTCTTTCATTGGTGTGTGTGTGTGTGTGTGTGTGGTGTGTGTGTGTGTGTGTGTTTTTTTTTTTTTAAATCTCTGATGATTTAGCGTTGTCACAGGGAGAGCAGTTCATATATTTTTTTCATTAAGTGTTGCGTGATTTAAGTGATGAGTATTAAATTGGTGAAGAAAGAATATAGTAGATGGGATCCAGGACCATGTTGAATATCAGTCCAGTGAGTCGATTGCATTGGCTCCTGAAATAATTATGCAACTCTTAAACATTACCGTAAACCATGGGGAAAATATTATCAAGTTTTCAAAATTGAGGAGCATTTCTTAGTAACTTGTCAGAGTAGTCTTTAATCTTCACAGTATTATTTTATCCACTTAATTTTGCAAATATTCTTAATGGTTTTAAAGTCCAAAACCAAAGGACAATATGTACTGGCAACTGGTTCCAAACGATATTATAAAGTTTTATAAAGACAAAACTCCATATGCTTACATCAATGTCTCTGACATTGGAAATGATTAATTTGAGTGTTTGTTTTCCTTGAAATTCATAATTAAATTTAGATTTGTTTCTTTTAATTATTGAAACGTTGACCTCATTGAAACTTTAACATTTCATGTAATTATTATAGGAATTTTCATTTAGAAACAAATTTTGACAGGAACAAACTTTCTACCAGATAAACCAGTCCACTGTGATGAGTAAACAGGGAGAGTAAGATGTGCACATAGTATAAGTTAAAAGGAATGGTATTCCACTGCTAATGGTATTTTACCTCACGAATACTACAGGGTTTACAAATTGCTGGCAATGGGCATATCATCGGCATGAGACTTGTTTCAAAAAATGTACATTTATGTATTGTTAAAAAAACACACACACACTGAAATGAACTTTACATCATGTTAAATAGTGGAATTAGCACTATCTGATCAAAATGTTTGAAGAACAAATTTTAAGCTGTTTTTGAGAAAATGACATTAGAGCATTTCTGAAAATGCAGAATTTTGAGCTATTTTTCACAGAAAAGGGTAGAGTTTTTGAGAAACTTTATATGACATTTAAATCGCATGTACTCATAAAAACAACTTTTTTTCGGTGTATGGGGACCCCAAAATGGGTATTTCTGTTGAAATCTGGAAATCGATTTTCCGCAGCATTACATAACTTTCCCTATACTATGAATATTACTCTGTACATACATACGTATATAGGAATTTAAATATCCCTTGTCTCCTGGCTGCTGATTTTTGTGAATAGAAGTGAAAATAGTATTTTGAAATATGGCATTCCTACCCTATCTCACCGTGGAATGCTTTATTTTAATCCCCTTAATAGAGGTCATTTGGCTAAGTGGTAGTAGCCAGTGATTGTTTTCAGATTATGCAGGTGTGAAGCAGAGTTACACAATTGTCATGACAAATTTGATCCTGTAAAGAAAATTAAAATTATTTGGAAGTGATACATCTTTAACGGTAGAATTTTTTCAAATATAATTTTGCACTTTGATTTTCTTGTATTTACTGTATTACCTTCTCTAGATATGGGAATACCAAACTAGATCATTTGTAGCAGAGATATGATTACTTCTTGGGTAAGCTGGCTTCCGTTTGAAAATCAATGAAATTATTGGTTCCAATGGTCAATGTGCTGTAGAAATCTCAAGAAACCTCAAAATTTGTTGAGGGAGGGGGGGAATGTTAATTTTTTGGGGAAATAAAAATTCCCTACCAACTTCACATTATAAGCATAATGGATACGATAAATGCACTTTGCTATTCAATTTGTTTAATATTTTTAAATTGTCTTATTACTTAAGTTCGATATTTTGCTTCAAGCAACATCAAAAAAGTGATAACAAATTTTTGAAATATTATGTTTTTCTCGACTCATCATGGAATTAATTTTTTTCTCATGCTTAATGTAAGAGTGAAAGAAATGTAATTTTTGGTAATTTTATTACACACAAACACTTGCATTTTTCTTTTGTTGTTAAAGACACAATGTGAGTAAAGATTATCAATAAAAGTGTAGTTCTTCTCATTTTAAATAGAAGTTAAAATTGAAATTTGTTCAAGAATATTTCTTCAGCTAAGTCTTTTGTAAACTTAGTTAAGAGAACTGTTAGAATCACCTTTGAGCAGTCTTAAAAGTAACTGCATATTTGTTTCTTTTAGGTACTTTATGAAAGGAATGGTGAAATTGTGGCTCATTTTAAATTTACTGTATTACTTATGCCAAATGGCCCACATCGCATTACTGGACTTCCATTTGAACCAGAGTTGTACTCTTCTGAACACGAAATTACTGATCCTGACTTGAAGGTAATTTTAATTATGCATTAGTTTGGAATTGCTTCTCTACTTTTATTTTGCATTATTTATCAATGACTTTTTATTCTTTTTAATACATCAGTCATTGCTGAATACTTCAGCCAACCCAAAGGCAGCGAAAAAGAAAAAGAAGAAGGCAGAACGTGCTGTAGTCAATGAGACAGCAATGGAAGTGGATGGTGAGGCATAGCGACTTGACAATCTCCACTGATAGGTTGTCCTGCCCTCAACAATCATGTTTTGAATACTGAAGCAGCACGCAAGAGCTACTGTTGGACAAAAGGAGAATAAATTTTTAATATATTTTCATTTCTGGTGGCTTTGGTTAATAAGTCATTTTAAACCCATTAGAAGAAATGACGGGTTGCCATTTTCAATGTCAGACACTTCTCAGAATAGAAATGTTTTGCTGTGAGATGGGTTGGGGAAGAAATACTTATGTTGGACTTACAAAAAGAAATGTGTCCTGTGTTGAAATATTACACCAGTTGGTATAAATTCTGTTTGTATAATACGGATAAAAACTTAAGAAAATGTTATAATTTTGTCATGAGAACCGTAGTTTAGGAATGGATTTTGATGTTTTATGTAACAAGTACAACTTATTGAACAAAAGTTGTGTAGACTTCATTAATTTGTTTGCGAAAAACTTTTTTAGTTAGCACAACTTGGTTCTGAGAGTGGTTTCTTTCATAGCAAGTTGGCAGTGGAACATGAATGTTGTAAGTTCATTTGCAGGATTATTCTATACTGAGTTTTTATAATTTTTCCTCTTCCTTTCTTTTGTACTACTGTTCACGCATATGTAGACATTAATACATAGAAGTAAACTCCTGAATGGACAATTCATTTGTGTTTCAGATCTTCAACCTCAATGTTTTCAGATAAGACCTGAAATGCTGTAACTTTGCACTTTCTCTATTTTTTTTTTGTTCAATGTGTATGTGAAAGTTAGTTTCTTTTGAATATGACATTAATGTGAAGTTTACGTTTCTTTTCTAATTAAGTTTTTTTTTTTTTAATTTCAAGATAACTTGTGGAAAGTTAAATGTGAAAGAATACATGAAAGAAACAAAGAAATTTTCATAACTACATGAATAGTTGGCTTTTATCTACAGGTAGCTTATAGTTTGCAAATTGATCTATACATGTATTGAATCTAAAATAGAAACTTGTTGCATTCAAAGAAGAAAAAAGGCAACTTTATTGCAGGGTTCTGGTTATCAGGGCTTGTTTGTCGATAGAGGATTGTGCCTTGCCCGTTTCTCAAGACCCCCAACCCCATAGGTGTTCATTTACTGTAGTACCTTGCTGCAATTAAACTGATGCAAGTATTGAATAAACATTTGGGCTGGCATTTAATATTTATGATGATCTGTTAAGAACATAGTTTCCTTTGAAATTGTGAATTTCAAGATCAGCGTTACTAGGTTGCAAGTAGTTTTCATTGTTAAATTTTTATTGAAGTTCTCTCACATGTAAAAACAATTTTACAAATAATGGCAGTGTGTAACCTATTACAAAGAACTGGACTATATAACATGTATTCTTGAAATATGTTGGAAATGTGTTAAAAATGCATTAGTAGTGTGTCATTTGGAGTAAAACTTCCATATTCTTTTGTTTCACTGCCTTTTAAATAGCTCTTTACATAAAATAGTGTTCAAATGTAATAGGATGCACAATGTAATAAGAGCAGCTGTGGTGGTTCAGCTACAATGCACTATGGTATAACATTGAAAGCCTGAATGTGTTCTGTGATGCCAGGATGAAATTTTAATTCTGAACGGTGTGCTTGCTGAAATGAATGTTGAGCAGGGAACAAAACTGTTAACCTTTGATGGAAATAAAAACATGATGGTTACTTACAATATTATTTTATGTTTGTGTATTGACACTGACTATACATGTATATACATTCAAGAGGAAATTGCTAATCACTTTTATCAGATACAGCCTTGGGAGATTCTGCAAATTTTTGCATTATTTCCCACCCTTTCTTTGACCAATGAATGGTATGAGTAGGTAAATCCTTTAAAAAAGTGAAAGTAATTTTGACACCTTGATTCCAGTAATGTTGAGATGCATGTGTGATATTTTCAACTTTTGGAAGTTCAGGCACCTGAAATAGGAAATTTAATTTCATACAATTTTGAAATAGTAACATCTTATGAGGAGAAAAATTAGTCTTACCTCAACAGGGACTTCCTTGATGTAAGGTGCAACATTTTTATACAAGTCCGCATACAATTTAGCTGAATCTTCACTATTTCCCCATACACCTTCTTCAATTGTGTAATGAACGAATGCACCACATAACCCTGCCTTTATACCGAACCTAGAAGAAAAGTTCAATTTTACTTACAACGGCTTATGTATTAATGTTTAACATTAAATGATTACACATACCTTAAAAAGCGAAAAGCCATCGTCTGAACGCAACTTATTGGCCGAAGAAATGAAAAATTGTATATGAATTCATAAAACTACTGCTCACGGTACACCACCCAAACCTCGTCCAAAAATACAGAATGGACAATCGTTTCTCAACTGTTTTGTTTACTCTTTCTATGGTTCAAGATTTGTACCACATGATGGCGCTGTTATTCAAATCGGCAACTCCACACCATCGCAATAGTTCAACATGGCCGGCTTCGTGAGGAAGGAGACAATTCCTTCCTCTTGAGAAATTGGTTTAATTGTGCGAAAAACGAAGCGATTTGTGGGAAATATGTGTTCAAAACGTTTGAAGACTATAAAATTAATTTCTTCTTGAATATGGATTGTTCCGGGATCCTGAAAACTTAGGAACTTGGGTACGTCAAACGAAATTTTGCTCTAGATTAGGATTTTTATGTTTGAAACATATTAAATACAGTTTTTCATGTAGATCACTTACAGCGCTTTTCAAATCCTTTACAGAGTAGTGGCTTCACTCGTTGCTTTTGCTAATGTTGCTATTTTGTTTTCTGATTAAAAAATATTGAAATTTAATTTTGAACGAAGTAATCAAATCCGCATAGTAATTTAGCTCCTAATTTTTTTGCATGTCTGCTGTAGATGAGTGTCTTACCGTGGTAAAGTTTTTAAATTAGTTTGAGAAATGGACTGAATTTTAATATGAACAGAATTTGTCTGGTGTTAATGTATTTAATTTTTCTAAATCGCTAAATGCAGCACTAATGGCAAATCAAGGGTATCGTGAGGTGTCCGAATTATTGGAGGAAAGTGAGACAGGTAAAGGTTAAAAAAATAACTTTAAGTTTAGAAATTGTTCAAGATAACACATGGTGTTAATAATAATAAACTGTTCGATGAAACACAATATATTCAAACCGTTGACATGAACCCATCAGAAACTGAAAACGCGTTTATAACATGAATTTGTGGATGTTTGAATCAGCTTCTATTTCCCGACTTATTAAAATATTCATAATTTGGTTGTTTCTTGCATTAGCGTGCTGGTTTCGTTGTAGCTTTAATAAATGTTACGAACAGTAATGTTTCAGTTGATGCTCGTCTACTATTCAAGGAATATAGAATAATGTTGGTTATTGAGGCGGATTTATACTTTTGCTACGTGACATGTATCAGTAAAAGCTGCTAATGGACTGGGCGGCAAAAAAGCCGACTAATGAATAATTTGTAACATATCCGATTGTGCTACAGCTAAGTTTGGACTTCGGCCAACATCCGCGTACTTTGGTACTGCTGGTTGTATTTCACGGGGTACAAGCCATATGGGCTAGGAGTAATAAGCCTAGCGCCAAGACCAAGGATGGGAGTAGGAATAGATTCGGGAAGTACGATTGCGTGCTTTTCGTAGCACGTACTTTAAGGTAATGCGTTGGCATCTGTCTAGAATTGACATTAAACACTATTATTGCGTTATTTTATACTGGAATTGGTATCGGTAATGAAAGAAATAAACAATAATTTTAATTGGAATTAGTAACACCAGAAACGCTACACAGATTAACTTCTCTATTTGAGATATGTTTCATTACGTCGAGACATCGAATTCCTTCTTTTTCCCGAGATTTTGAAGTAATAACACATCAAATGAGACCTTGTAGGTGACGCGTTTCTCCCACATTTTGATTCCAATTTTTTGTGTATTAAAGTTTATGTATTCAACGCTTCATCTAATTTGTACGGTCTTCACGCCTACGTCGTATTTAATTTTGTTTCTCAATTGAGATGCTAGATGATAACTTTCAAGTAAATGGCAGTCATTGTTAGACGTTCTCAGCTAAAAGGTATCAAGTTTATAAACCATGGATCCGAGATAATTTGGTTATTTGCGCTAGTTTATTTTCAACAGGGTTTAGAGGGCTCTTGTGTTTTGTTATGGTATAAAGACGAGCTTAGTTGCGGCATAACTTTGAACTTCAAAAGCAGTTTTTCAAGCATTTCTATTTTAAATTAGAAATTAACGGTCTTCTTCCATTTTAGCCCTGCAATATTTCTGACGTATGTAAGATTGACGAAAAGGCACAGTGAAATTGGGAAACATTTATTACTTTTTAACAGCATATAGGCCAAATTGCAAGTTACAAATTAGGCTTTAACTGGCTTCATCAAAGCAAAGTTCATCGTTATCAAATTTTGCAATTTCATTCAGGAAAGTGTGTGACCTAGGTGGAGTTTGGGTTCGTCGACCTTTTGAAATATCGTATATCTGGGTGTCTGAAGGAAGTAAAAACAAGTGTGTGTGTTTTTTTTCCCTCGGTGATGTGAACTAGGGTTTCTACTGTGGATATTGCTACTCGACACATTTTACAACATTAATCCTGATAGTAACTTTTGAATCCCTAATATCTGCTTTCAGTGAACTCCTAACGTACATCTGAATCAATGAAGTCCAAACATTCTTCTGAATCCATTCTTCGGAAATCAATTCACATGTACAATTACGCAAACAAACTCCACGTACGATTTGTTTACTTGATACACTTTAGCACAGACATTACAGTGAGATTCAGTGCTACAGCAAGTGCTGTATTGTTAGCAAACTAGCTATGTAACTATGATAGCTGCATGTAGTTAAATATTGTTCCGAAAAAATGCACTTTCAAAAAAATTAAACAAAACCGTAACAAACGCATATTTTTATATTTCTGGACGTGATCCACTTTAAAACTGAACGCCTCATTGTCACGTAATGATATTCATTAAAGGAAAAAATGTTTATGTATAGTATGAAAACAGAAGTTGGAATGTGATGGGATAACCGCTTGAATCGGTGTATCATAAGGGCACTGAATTTGAGACTGAAGTTTTCAAGCCCAGCAAGTCCTTCGCTTAGGTATTCGTCGTTGAAGCCGAATAGTCTTACAGGATCATCCCCCAGCATCAAGAAGTGCTGCAATTGACTGTTCGAAAGAAATAAAAAAAAATGTGTCATTTTGGTGGAAATTTTAAATATTCCCTCGGTAATATAATTCTTAATTATTTCTTCGTGATCTATTTTGATTCGATTTATTTTCGTCAAAAAACTAAAACCTGAATGTGACGTGTGGGGGATAAGTAATAATCAGCGCAGGGATTTTTGAGCCCCAGAATCCCTTCCTCGTCCTTTCACTAGACACAGATAAATGAAGAATAATAGTATTAACAAATCGAAGTTCGCAACAGTTGAAAACTAAAAATTTTCCCTCCCAAGGTGTTGATAATAAATTTGCATCGGTAAAAGAACTACCGATGAATTACAGATTTGATTTATAATATTGCTAATAAAATGGCAACCCAATGCCCGGCTCCACTACTACCGCAACTGGAAAAGAAGTTTACCAAAACGTGCTCACAGAGAAGCTTCATTTAAATCTACAAGCAAACCAAGGGGCCATCTCAGCTCAGGGAATTGGACGAAACCCTTCACTGAGACTGGAATCATTGACCCGGAACATGAAGTGCATTACATGTTACAGACATATTTAGTGCTAAAAATTATACAGTACAAACATAATTCATTAAATACACTTATATCATTCTTAAAATAAATATTATTCTCCTTTTTGATGGTCATTATTTCTCTAATTGTGCAGAAACAGTGATGCAGCTGAATAGTTGTTTATCACATAAGTGGTAAAATAAACGTTAAATTTGCGAGTAGGAAAGGTTGCGATACGACGCTACAGGCTTCGCAATCTTACGAGCGAAATAAAATCACTTATATCGTGTGTGCCATACCTTTATATTTTGGGCAGCTTTTCATTTATTTTTTTGGGGGGGGGGAGTTATGTTTTATTCAAATACACAAATTAGTTAATGATACATTAAGGTCAATAGTAGCTGATGCTGTTGTACAAAATGCTTTTGTTTTCTTTGTTGCATGCACAAATTTATCTGAGAGAAACGCTTTTTGTAGTAGCTGTCCGCTATACCCACTAGTATTTTTTCTTTCAGGCGATGCACAGCATCAATTTTTAGCACTAATGCTAAAAGTGAGTCGATGCTTAAAAATGTTCAGATAAAAATATGAATGAAACAAAATAGTTCCGTCTGACCGCATCAACTACTTCTGATCGTAATGTAGCAAAATACCCAATTTATTGATCTGTATACTTAAATTAAAATAAATGGAAAGTTAGTAAGGCTGTCTAAAATAGTGTTAGGTACACATGATAAAAGTGATTTTGCCGGTCCGTATGGCCGAGATCGCTAAGGCAGTAGTGCCGGACCGAAGGATCGCGGGTTCGAGTCCCGCCTCGGGCGTGGTTGTATTGTGTTCGTCCTTTCACCCCCTAACATCATCCTATCGTGTCATCCTCAGAGTTACCATTCCGTTACACGCAGTAGTGGTCGCTAATGACCTAGAAATTGATGCGACCTTAAATAACAAACTAAAAAAGTGATTTTATTTTGCTCGTAGTATTCTGCCATTATGCTTATCGACATCGTGTCGCTATCTTTTCTACTCTCAAAATATGTCACTTTAACCACACTTACCTCATATATCTAATCTGTTACGTATGTGTGAGTCGGTTTTAATTATTTAATGTCATCTGGCAATGTGATCAAAAGTACATAGTTGTAATTTACGTGGATTTCTTGTAGTGAGCTGTTGATTTTGACATCTGATAAATATGATTCCTACATGTTTTGTAATTATAACCATCTATTTAGTATGAAAATGTTTTCCCACCCTTGAGTAGTCAGTTTTGGTAAAAAAATAAAAAAGGCATATGCAATAGTACGATTCCAAGCTCAAGGAAAAGAGGTTGCGGGAATCACATGGATGGCATTTACTTATTGTTTCTGCAGTCTAAAAGTCTAGATACTATAGGATGTTCTTCCTCAAAATAGTATGCCGTTTCTCAAGCCGGAATGTACATTCGCAAAATACACTCCACGTACTACGTGAAGGCTAAAATAATTCTAAATTCGAAACATAATGAATTTAATTTAGTATTCATTTCGTTTATGTGGATATTCCTTTTGAGGTTGAATTTAATTGAGATACTCAGAAATCTTATTACCTTGACGTTAGTCACGTGCATATTGTTCGTTTTCAATTGCTCGTGCGATTGTATGTTTGAAGGACATTGAAGTTGCTTTGAAGCTGGTTTTCTTCGTTTACTGTTAATTAAGAAACCAATTTCAACGATCTGAAATCGTACTACTTATTGTTTTCATTTTGCAAAGAATATT